AGTTTTAATTAATAGTGTTTGGCAATTAATGTGACTCAAATGCTAGTTTGTTTTTTGTTGTTTTTTTTGTTTGTTTTTTTGCAAAAGTTGAGTTAGAAAGCAGAAAATGTTTCTCAAATTTTTTGCACTTGAAATTGTTTGTATTGCTTTCAATATTTTTTTAATATTGTATCTTTGTGTTTCTCCCGTTAGAGTTCAGAATATGTTGGCCTTGCTCATTTGCTTAGCTCCAACTTTTTAACGCTCGTCATCGCTCCATTTCCTCCCCAAAATGCCTCCTCTTCTGTCGACTCGTCCTCACAGCTTTTAGTTGCCATCTCTTTTTAGAAGAAGAGAGAATAACAAACACTACAATAACCTTTTCAGACCGATGTAGGATCCTGTGCTTGAATGAATCAATTGAATGTGATCTGAAATGTTTTCTCACCCTTCATAGTTTTTCCTTGTTACCTTGTTTCTGATTTGACAGGTACCTCAGTGATGAAGGCATCGCAGAGCTGAAAGGATCTGCAGAGAATGTAACACATGCTGACATTATTCGTATTGCACTTAATGTGAGTATTAAATATGCAACCCTTGTATTTTTTGCATTGCTGTGGTAGTGAGCAGCAGGTTAGTTCTGTCAACATGTAGGAACATGACTGAAGTTCAAACATAAACAAAGATACATGTTCGATTTGAACTATTCGTCAAATTGAAAACAGCATTTTATCTGTTTATACTCGTGAACAGAACAGCACATAAATACACGAGACAGCACAGTTTACAACGATCCCAAAGATTTTAAAGTACAAAGAACATCTCATCTGACCTGCAGTATCAGATGAGGACAGGACACAGTGGCTGCATTCAAGCCTTGACCTTTACGCTTTGGCCTGAAGAGATGCCAAAGGATCTCCGGCTGCACTGGAGCACGTCACAGCTCGCCTGGTTCATTCTGCTTGTTTTCACTTAGTAGCTGTAAAATGGGACAATCTTTGAAAAAAAAAAAGTTAAATTTTATGCTGGAGCTGTTGCTGTTTTTCTAAATAATACCCACGATCAACCCATTTCCTGTCAGTTCTTTATTAGTTTAGAGAAATTGATCTGAGCTGTATTATCTGCTGAAAGTAAGGTCATTTTATAAAGATGGAAGATTAGATTTAACGTCAAAACTCTTAATTTAGTTTTTTTTTGTCTCCTTGTTATACTATCACTAATTAATTTTGATTCCTTCAACTAACATGTAAAATTTAAACCAAACAACTTGTTCAATTTTTATTTCATATTTTAAATTAGCCTTTTTGTACACAAACAGGCTGCAGATTGCCATTATCATTAACGTTTAAATATTTGATTAATAACAGTTACTTACAATTATGTATAATTATTTATTGATAATTAATAATTTATTAATTATAATTAAGTCTGTATAATTTAATTCAATTCAAAAATACTTTATTGATCCCAGAGGGAAATTTGGTAATAATGTTGAATTCCAAAATATGTGCAGTTTCACTTTTTACAATCTTTGTTTTTATTTATTTATTTATTTTTACTAAGTTTATTCCTCATACTGTTGTAGTGTTTGTTTTTTCTTTTTATACTTTATGTATGTTTGCACTGGAACAGGAGTGGCTTTTAATCTCATTGTACAAGCGTACAGTGACAATAAAGRYATTYTATTCTGTTCTATTCTATTAAGTTGGCTAATTATGTTTTGTTTATGCAAATGTTATTGAAATTATGTCCTGATGCATCTCAGTAATCCAGGTAGAAAAAACAGAGAAAAAATGAGTAGGTCCTCTGGGCGGGTTCTTCTTTAATGAACCCGTCCAGAGGACCTACTCATTTTTTCTTTTTGGTTATTGAAATAAAGCTCTCTGACCAGGTCTTTGCTGTAAGTCGTACAAATCATCACATTCAGATTATTGAAACCAAAACCAAAAACGTGCCCTCAGTGATGCTCAGGCTTTGCCACTACACGTCTTACATCAGTGTCAGTAGATCCTAATCAGTGCCAGTTTTACAATAATTCCTCATAATGTTTTTTTTTTTTTAACAAGGCAGTATTTTTCTCTGCAGAGTGATCTTAGGCCTCTTGGGAGAAAATTTCTACCGTCTGATATCAACAGTGGAAAGACTGAGAAGGTGGGTGAAATTTGTGTAATTTGCTCACCATAAAAGGCTGATGTGTTGCAGTTCCCAGGACTGTCACTAGATGGTAGTGACACACCGAGGAATGAAAATCAACAGAGTGTTTTTTTTTTTTTTTATTGCTTTGGTTGTGTGAAGCTAAAGTTGAGCCTCTGGAGAGAAAACATTACTAATACAGAAACATTAAACTTTAACTTGTACCCATCTCAAAGTAACTACTGTATCTCCAAGTGTAAGCTATGAAGCTTTTTAGAAAAATAAACAAAGCAGTGCTTTCATTATTCATTTTTTTCAAGCTTTGAAAACTCTTCCAACGCATGTGAAGCTCTTTTCTTGCACGTGTCCTCTGCAATCCGTAACAATCTGCTGACTCACCTCTCAGGCTGATTTTCTGGCTTTGTTTGCCCATTGTTGCACGCGGACAGTTGGAGGGTCCATGTGTCCTCCAGGTGCAGAAGGTGAGAAACATTTCGGCTCCGAAAGACCACGAGGAGTCCCAGGGTGCACCGCGGATGCTGCGCCTGCAGATGACAGATGGCCACACCACCTGTGTCGGCTTAGAGGTTAAACATCTGTCCAAAATCAGGTGTGGGTTTTGTTTCTGGCCAAATAAGCAGAAACACTTTATTGGATTTATTTAGAAAGTTAACACTGATTATTATTTCTGTTCTAAAGCTTATTGAAGTCATTTTTTATTATGAGTTTGGTAGTTTATCAGTGATTGCAGATAAAATTTTCAATTCAGTTTATTTATATATAGCGCCAAGTCACAACAAATGTTGTCTCAGGGCACTGTACACAAAAACAACAACAACAAAAACCAATAAATCTAAAGAAGCCAGCAGACTGGGCCAAATTTTTGCTTCATCACAGTCTCCCATCMTGAGCAGTACACCGGCAGCAGCGGAGACGAAAAACTCCCTCTTAAAGGGATCCCTGATTAGTTGGAACATTAGACCTGATTTGATAAACATACTTTAACTGTAAAATAAAGACTGCAAAAATACTGTAGGCTGTTTAGTTTTGTAAATTTTTAAAAATATATTTTAACACGGACGGAGCCATTTTATTTACACACAAAGCATTCTGGGTAAATGATGACGTGGATAGGTCCTCGGTGCGAGGCTGCTAGCGAGCTATATCCACCCTGAAGGTTAATCTTGGACAATATCTGATGATCGACTCTTTTAAATGAAACCAGAGAGCGTTGACAGAGAGGAGAAGGTAGAAATGACTCAGCCTGGAACTGAAAATATGGATGGAGGACAACAGAGCTGCTTCATGGAAGAAGAACCTCAGCTTAGCCTGTTAGCTTTAGCGCTGACGCTATATTGCTTTATATGTATTAGCTCGGCGCTAGTGCAACAAACAAGCTAAACTGAGGTCCTCCATCCATATTTTCAGTTGCAGACTGAGTCATTTTTGCTTTCCCCTCTCTGTCATGTGGATGGAGGACCTCAGTGACAAGAGGAGAATGTGTAGCGCTGAGCTAATACATATATATGGTGATAGCATTGGGGGTAATGCTAAGCTGAGGTTCTTCTTCCATGAAGCAGCTCTGTTGTCCTCCATCCATATTTTCAGTTCCAGGCTGAGTCATTTCTACCTTCTCCTCTCTGTCAACGCTCTCTGGTTTCATTTAAAAGAGTCGATCATCAGATATTGTCCAAGATTAACCTTCAGGGTGGATATAGCTCGCTAGCAGCCTCGCACCGAGGACCTATCCACGTCATCATTTACCCAGAATGCTTTGTGTGTAAATAAAATGGCTCCGTCCGTGTTAAAATACATTTTTAAAAATTTACAAAACTAAACAGCCTACAGTATTCTTACAGTCTTTATTTTACAGTTAAAATATATGTTTATCAAATAAAGTCTAATGTTACAACTAATCAGGGATCCCTTTAAAGCTAGTGTGGAAAATTTCGCCTCCTCGTCCACACACTGGCCCTGCCGCACATCCGAGTTTCACCTTTTATCTGCGATTTCCACGCGGTGGCAGCTGATTTAACAAACCCACCGCCTTTAATTTACATCTTCATCCGAGTAGCGGTGGCCTTGGTGATTGCTGCCATGGCGACCAGCCGGTCTGTACAGGTGGAGTGGCCAGAATGTGGGCCTTGACTTCCTGATGGGAAGAGAGTAAAGAACAGAACAAATCCCCTCTTTATGAGCAGCACACACACACGCACACACACACACACTGGCAGCAGTAGTTAATGTTTCTGAGGAAAGTGTCCGCTCAGCGTGAGCGGGTGGCAACGAAGGACGAGGCAGATTACAGAACTGTTCACTGTGTAAGACAGTGAGACAAAGAGAGGACAATTAAGCTTTAAGTAGCAGCTATTGAGGCTGAATAGTGTGTTTGTGTGTGATTGAATCAAGGATAGCTTGTTCCTCTTTGCCGGCGTCACGAGAACGCCATCCATCCCCGAGGTCGGGAGAGAAATCCCTAATTGTTGCTTTGGCTTCCAGCATCAGTAGCTGGAAATCCCTCTAAGTCCCCGCGCTTTCCTAATGAGAGAGGCAGAGGCCTTATCAGACCCGATGAGATAGAAGAGCTTTTAATTTACCACGAGGATGGTGAGCAGCTGGGATTATTAATAGCTTTGCCACCCATCTGCTGGCACGGCTCCATGTCATTTACAGAGTGCTATGGATAAGGCAACAGGGTGTAAGGATCCAGATCTGCATTTATCAACTGTTAAACCCTTGAAATATGAGCAGAAACATGTTAAAGTAAATCTATTGATTGTAGGTGTTTACTGTGTAGCCGTTTAAATGCCGGGTTTGTTTGTGTTTCAGTCTTAACACGCCTCCTGGAACAAAAGTGAAACTGTTTGGTACGATCCAGGTGAGAAATGGGTTTTTGCTCCTGGATGACTCAAACATCAGCGTCCTCGGAGGTGAAGTCGATCACATGGTAGAAAAGTGGGCTCTGCAGAGGGTGAGGGTCAAAAACATGTTTAAACTAATTTGTTTTTTCTTTTTAATTTGGAATGAAGGCCACTGTCAAACTAATTAGTCTAGCTTTTCAAGGATTGTTTATCTTAAGATGAGTTTCTTTTATCCTCCATCCTGCAGAGTCTGGCCAAACACAGCAGGAGTAACATTGGAGCAGAAGGTGGACCTCCACCTTTTCTGCCATTTGGTCAGGTGAGAGAAAATGCAAATTGTACCAGGACACATTTAATTCAAAGTTTGTAACTGGATTAGATATAAACCAGAAAAAATACTGTAAAACAACCAAGAGATGAAACATTTTTAGTCTGTGTCAAGATTTCAACTTCTTGAAGGAGTCAAGGTCAAGTCAGGCTCTTTCCTTTAATCTTTTTTAAACAAATGGGTCTTCATTAATTCTTAAAACAGTTGGCTGATATAGAATTCTGCTTTGTTGCCCTTCAAACACCATGTGATGTAAATGGTGCATCGGATTAGTATTAAAAAAGCTGAGGTAAGTGAAATCAAAGGCAAACAGGGATTCAGTTTTTACAAGACGAATTGAGTTTTCAAGGACGGTCATTGCTCTCCAGCGTACATTAAACATATCAGCCATAATGTTTTTATATCTGCCATCTTTTTCCTCCAAAACATCCCTGACCAGTAATGGTGCGTTCCACTTACATSGTATTCCCGGAACTGGTAAATGGTAGTGATGTCATTTCCCAACAAACCATATGAAACTGCATTCCASTTAGCCGACAGGCCATTGTATTGTTGCAGCTAAGCTAGCTACAACACTGCTACAATATAAGCAATGACAAAAAGAGAGCTCTNAAGCTAGCTACAACACTGCTACAATATAAGCAATGACAAAAAGAGAGCTCTACTACGTACGTCATGCAAATAAACATTGATTTTAATACGTACAGCATTGCACAGAAAACGCACTACTTGTGCGAGTGATTAAACATGCACAAAAAATTAAGCAAGATACCGTATTTATTCAAGTATAATATGTAAAATTTAATCCATAAAATCATCCATAAAGTTGGGGGGTAGTATTATATTCGGATAAATATTTTTACTTATGTATTTTAACTGAGATATCAGCAAAATTATTGAGTCCGGAAATGAGACCGCGTTGTAAAAAGCAGATGAAACGAGCTCACCTCTGACACTCCTCTGTGCTTCAGAGAGAGAGAATAACAGATCCAAGCAGGCGACATGATGTGAAAAAAAGGGGGGGGAAACAGTATTCCTGCACCTTAGTGATGATAGTGAACTAATGACATTATCGTGTGACCGAGCCACTGCTGGAACAACAACAAACACGTCAGTCTGTAATGGCTGCCGTCTACCGGTGTTCTTAAAAACTTCGTATCCCTGAAAAAAGTTTCCCCACCAGAGGGGGCGCTCGCGAGTAGGAAGTAATCTGCTTTTCCCCCCACAAGATGGCCCAAGTCTCATGTGAAGTCTCTGACTTTTGTGTTGGCGCCTCCTGGTGGACTATGTGTAAAATGCCAGAATTCATATGAATCTGCTACAGCTGATATATATTTGTTGTCAAAATACCTTTTAGTACATATGTTGTTAAAATAAAATGAACAGTCCAATGATCATTTTACTGATATGTATAAAGACTGCAAAGGCTGAAAAATCTTGAAGTCTGTATGAAATTGGAGGTAGTTTGAGGATTAAATTTTTTATGCTTTTTAAGCTCAAAAAAGTGTGGGGGGGTCAAATTATACATGAGATCGTATTTTACACGAATAAATATGGTAATTAACAGTAAAAGTTGCGTTGTTAACTTTCTCAAGCTTCGAATAGCCGCTATCTTGAAATCGAAACTGGGGGCAGTTTTATTTCTTCCACAATACATGTGGAATATTACCACTGGACRGGGCGTTCCAGATTAAATCTACCAATGGGAACTGGGAAATTYCCMCTTCCCAGGACTACTGGAACAAAAGACTTGCTTTCTACGTGTGCTATAAGATCCTGTTGTTGGTCGTATTGTTATGGCTAATTGGTATTACATTGTCAGATCRTTGGTTTGGTACATATTCATCAGATTTTAAAACAAGACTCACTCCCTTCAGTTCTGTGGGATTTTCAAAAGCTTTAAATGTTTTGTACATTACAGACATTTTCAGGAAAATAAAACTGATTTTCAGTCAGCCACAGATGAATGAACAAAAGGTATTTCATTGTTCTTTAAGAATTACAGAACTTTTTAACTAACCTCTTCAWTTAAAACAATATAAATGACTCCAGCTATTTAAAACTATAATCACTGAATTGAGKTGAATAATTGTCATTCTTGTATGCGTGTGTCACCAGTCCCAAAAAGTCACAAACAATCTGAGATGTTGCATCATCTGCTCAAGGAGCCAAACATGTCTGAGAAGGATCYGTTCTCTGTCTTCTTCCCTGTAGAGGTGCGCGAGGCTGGATGATGTAGACAGCCGAGAACTGGACCAGAGGAAAACCCTTCAGACTCAACACGCTGTGAAGAACCCCGAAGGGAACGACGAGTTTGAAAAGCAGCGAACAGCAGCGATCGCTGAAGTGGCCAAAACCAAGGAAGTGYGTAAAATTTGAATTTGTTTTGTTATTATTGTCGAAGGCAACCAGCTGTAAAAAACACCCATATTTAACAAACGATTTCCACCTTTCTATTTGCCTCCTTTTTGACTCACATTTGATTTCCAGAACCACTTGTTTTTATTTTTTTTTTTGCCATGTTTACAAATTTAACAGCTTTTCTTATTGATTTCAATTTTTTGAACAAGCTACTTAATTTGGTCTCCATTAAAACACATCTTTGAACCTAAATTGCCTCTGACATTTGAGTCACTCCTCAATTTAAAATCATAATTACCTCATCCACAGACTTTTATTTCTTGATTGATATGKTTTTTTTTTTGGTCCAACCCTGCAGTTTTATTGTTCTTGTTTTTTTTCCTCCCCTCCCTCTTCAGGCCCCGCGCACATTTGGTGGCGGAGGAAACGCGGGCAGTAATTTATCCAGCGCCGCTTCCTTTTCTCGAAGCAGAGACTCATACCAGCATCGCAGACGAGAAGACAGGCCTGAAAGAACAGAAAGCAGACAAGATGGAAACTACCGAGAGCTGGTGAGGAATCTGATTTTTCTTAAAAGGTATGTTTTGAGATGACRCATGATAGTAATTTATACGGATACTCACAGGTACAAAGTAGTTTTCAAACTAGAACTTGTTTTGTGTTTCTTCTTTGGTTTAAAGCAGGGATTCTTAACCTTTTTGATCTCAGGGCCCAATTTGTTGAACATAAATTGGCACGAGGCCCAGTTAGACATTACCAATGTATGGATCAAAATGATAATTATTCTAATCAAAATCTTGGTTTAATTTTTTTATTTATTTTTTTGTATTTACATCATAAGTAAACTATCATAACTAACATAACTAAATTAAATACACTTACAGTTTAAAAGTAAAACTCCTGTCAAATAATCACAAGACATGATTATGACAAACATTTTTATATTGTAACCTGCCCATAACAATTATTTGAACAAATACAAAGGTCAGTCAACAGACCACTCAGGCTTATCAGCAC